GTTTAACTTAGTAGGGTCCCATTCTGTTTAACTTAGTAGTGTTCCTTTCTGTTTAACTTAGTAGTGTTCCTTTCTGTTTATCTTAGCTGTGTTCCTATCTGTTTATCTTAGTAGTGTTCCTTTCTGTTTAACTTAGTAGTGTTCCATTCTGTTTAACTTAGTAGTGTTCCTTTCTGTTTAACTTAATAGTGTTCCTTTCTGTTGAACTTAGTAGTGTTCCTTTCTGTTGAACTTAGTAGTGTTCCTTTCTGTTGAACTTAGTAGTGTTCCATTCTGTTTAACTTAGTAGTGTTCCTTTCTGTTTAACTTAGTAGTGTTCCATTCTGTTTAACTTAGAAGTGTTCCATTCTGTTTAACTTAGTAGTGTTCCTTTCTGTTTAACTTAGTAGTGTTCCTTTCTGTTTATCTTAGCTGTGTTCCTATCTGTTTATCTTAGTAGTGTTCCTTTCTGTTTAACTTAGTAGTGTTCCATTCTGTTTAACTTAGTAGTGTTCCTTTCTGTTTAACTTAATAGTGTTCCTTTCTGTTGAACTTAGTAGTGTTCCTTTCTGTTGAACTTAGTAGTGTTCCTTTCTGTTGAACTTAGTAGTGTTCCATTCTGTTTAACTTAGTAGTGTTCCTTTCTGTTTAACTTAGTAGTGTTCCATTCTGTTTAACTTAGAAGTGTTCCATTCTGTTTAACTTAGTAGTGTTCCTTTCTGTTTAACTTAGTAGTGTTCCTTTCTGTTTAACTTAGTAGTGTTCAATTCTGTTTAACTTAGTAGTGTTCCTTTCTGTTTATCTTTGCTGTGTTCCTATCTGTTTATCTTAGTAGTGTTCCTTTCTGTTTAACTTAGTATTGTTCCTTTCTGTTTAACTTAGTAGTGTTCCTTTCTGTTTAACTTAGTAGTGTTTCTTTCTGTTTAACTTAGTAGTGTTCCATTCCGTTAATCTTAGTAGTGTTCCATTCTGTTTAACTTAGTAGTGTTTCTTTCTGTTTAACTTAGAAGTGTTCCTTTCTGTTTAACTTAGTAGTGTTCCTTTCTCTTTAACTTAGTAGTGTTCCATTCTGTTTAACTTAGTATTGTTCCTTTCTGTTTAACTTAGTAGTGTTTCTTTCTGATTAACTTAGTAGTGTTCCATTCTGTTTAACTTAGTAGTGTTTCTTTCTGTTTAACTAAGTAGTGTTCCATTCTGTTTATCTTAGAAGTGTTCCATTCTGTTTAACTTAGTAGTGTTTCTTTCTGTTTAACTTAGTATTGTTCCTTTCTGTTTAACTTAGTAGTGTTCCTTTCTGTTTAACTTAGGAGTGTTCCGTTCTCTTTAACTTAGTAGTGTTCCTTTCTGTTTAACTTAGTAGTGTTCCTTTCTGTTAAACTTACTAGTGTTCCTTTCTGTTTAACTTAGTAGTGTTTCTTTCTGTTTTACTTAGTAGTGTTCCTTTCTGTTTAACTTAGTATTGTTCCTTTCTGTTTAAGTTAGTAGTGTTCCTTTCTGTTAAACTTAGTAGTGTTCCTTTCTATTTAACTTAGTAGTGTTCCATTCTGTTTAACTTAGTAGTGTTCCTTTCTGTTTATCTTAGTAGTGTTCCTTTCTGTTTAACTAAGTAGTGTTCCTTTCTGTTAAAAGTAGTATTGTTCCTTTCTGTTTAACTTAGTAGTGTTCCTTTCTTTTTAACTTAGTAGTGTTCCATTCTGTTTAACTTAGTAGTGTTCCTTTCTGTTTAACTTAGTAGTGTTCCTTTCTGTTGAACTTAGTAGTGTTCCATTCTGTTTAACTTAGTAGTGTTCCATTCTGTTTAACTTAATAGTGTTCCTTTCTGTTTAACTTAGTAGTGTTCCTTTCTGTTTAACTTAGTAGTGTTCCTTTCTGTTTAACTTAGTAGTGTTTCTTTCTGTTTATCTTAATAGTGTTCCTTTCTGTTTACCTAAGTAGTGTTCCTTTCTATTTAACTTAGTGTTCTATTTAACTTAGTATTGTTCCTTTCTGTTTAACTTAGTAGTGTTCCTTTCTGTTTAACTTAGTAGTGTTCCTTTCTGTTTAACTTAGAACATAATTCACGATACGGGGGTCAAGTTATCTCAGAAATCACTGAAGATGCATGAGTGAAATATTGTATGTTTATCTCTGAGATAATGATCAAGTCAGAGTGTTTCTAACACACCGTGTGATTTAAGATAAGATGTTGTCTTATTACCCCGACTCCATAAATAAATATGTGTGTAAAACATATGTTAAGACATATGATAAGAAGCAGAACATCTTTTAAAAGACTTTAAAACAAACACTACCTAGTGAATAGAACAGTGTTGACTGTACGGCGATCATCAGCAATGTAAATAAGAATAACAGAAAGAAGTTTATTGCATTTCGGGGCCAGGAGGCCTAGAGTACAGTTTAATATACAATGCTGTTAAATAACATTATCAGAGCGCTGTAACCTTGATCTGAATACAGGTAGGTGGGTGAGGGGGAGCAATAGATTGCTGTCTGTTGTTTATAACAAGGTAATGACATGTAGGATACACGGATGGCAATACAAATACACAGGTAAATAATGTTCCCGAATTTGGGCGTAATGTGGACATATAAACAGAACATAATATTCGTCTTCATCATCCCCTTCTCCGCAGTACGGACACAATAAATCAGCGTGTTTACAATTTTGAACATGTTTGTATGTAGTAATTTAAAATTATTTGAACAGCATCCTAGCTTAGTCAAAGCCCTATTATACAAGTTAAATATCTTTCAATATTAAGGTGAGATTTAAATGTACAATAACTTCACAAAAGAGTAGAATTACTAAAATCTTTATTCCTCTCTTGCCTATACATGTGTAATAAATGTTGTTATTTAAGTATCATGACACAAAATTCAACTCCTTTTGACTTCGGCTACTAATTTAGAGCGATATTAAACAATCTCACCCATGGGCGAAAAGCATTATTTAATCATATTGTTTCACAAGTAAATAACAATGTTTAACATATCTGTTATAATTCATACCGACTATCCCTTTTAAGAAAGCTTACAACTCTTAGCTGTTGATGAATAAACAAGGGACGGCGTCCATATTCGCTCAAAGTTGCCAAGTTACTTGTGCGGTGGATAACTCTGGGAAATATATTTACAAATGTGGATAATTTCTAAAACTTTTGTTTCTTTAGTGCCCTAAATTTCCGAACGTACATTAAAAACAAGTGTTATCATCCACATTTCATATAATTCTTTTTACAAGAATTAAAACTTTTTCTGCCTGTTTGGCCAAATTTTGACAAGCAACTGTAAACATATGTCTACATGTAAATATAACATCCAAGTATTTGTGATAAGAAACAACCTTTATAGATTTCCCTATATATACTCAATTTTCAAATTCTTCATAATTTTCCTCTTTTTTGAAAACAATTATTTTGGTTTTATGTAAATTTACTGTCAAACCCCACTTTTCTCAATATTTTTCTAAAATATCTATTTGTCTCTGGAGGTTGATTACTGTATCGCCATAATGACATCATCAGCAAAGAAATAAGCAGACACATTTCTTCAATATCATTATCTTCAAAAATACCTCGTGGGTCAGTTTTAAACAATAATTTAGTTAATTCTTCAATATACATCAAAGACAAAATTGGTGACAGCATACACCTTTGTCTAACACCTCGGGAAGATGAAAACATTTCTGTAAACTGACATGGCGTACATCTCACACATGCTTTCACATTACAATGAATGATTTCAAACAATTTACATTGTATATAAATTACCATGAAATCCTTTTCTGAGTAATTGAAAGAGAAGCTCACTTTTATCAACACAATCAAATGCATTTTTGAAGTCTATGAAAATACAATACTGTGTCCCTTGTTTGTTTTTTTCTCTCAGATACTTATATGCTAATGTATTTATGATAAACATATTGTCTACAGTCGAATACTCATCTCGGAAGTCAGCGTGTGCTTCCGATACAGCAGAATGTAGCTCTAACCAAACTTTTAATTTCGTATTAATAATCGAGGTAAACAATTTGCCTAACATTCGTAGCAAAGTAATTATCGGGGACTTGTTTAAATAATGGCATAATTACTCCTTGATTCCAAGCATCAGGGAACTGACCTGTTGTGAGAATGTTATTAAACAACAACACCAATGTCAGAATGTCAACAATAGCTTTTATCGCCTTGGCTGGGGTGCTATCTAGCCCTGGCGACTTACCATTCTTTTGAGTTAGATCTTTATATTTCCTCTTCAGTTATAGGGTTCGCCAAGAATTATCGTCACTTTCTGTACAATCCCACACACCAATGCATTATGGCCTGATATATACTCTTGAACATATTTGTCAAAAGAGTCCCCAAGTCAACGTCAGGATTTTACAGAGTTTTTAAATAATTGTACCAATCATCTGCAGATATGACACCTATCTGCAGAATGTAAATAGTACACTGTGTTAATATGAAATAGTAACATGGACTCAGTAATGTAATTATAAGATGTAAGTGTATTTTTTCATCTCTGACATACGAAGTTATAAACATACTAAGAACAAAACACGTGATAAGAGTCATAAGGCTTGGGTGTCAATATCGATAATGCTAATGCCAAGAAAATCTGAAAATATTGTCATTCTTTCGTTTCATTCCAGAAATCGGTCTGATTCCTTGCAGTAATGGAGATTGTACGGAATACCCCCGGGGCAAGGTCGATCTATCTCCTCTCCCTGCTGCTGTGTGTCGCCATCATGGCGGCCTACTACATGGGCTGCCAACACAGGAGGGAGCTTTTCCTTGACCTGTCCATAGATGGCGTTAGTGTTGACTCCGTTTTGAAGAACGCCGGTGTGGGCGAAGATGGCTCGCTGGAAATAGTTTTAAACGTTCCTGACCCTTCCGACACAATCACACGTCTGAAACGAAAGGGCGTGGCTTTACAAAAACTAGTAAAAAAGGTACCGGAAGTACCCAGAACATCTTATCCTCTTACCATGGATACCCGTACGTAATTAACAACCCTAATATATGTACAAACATCACAATCTCAAGTTCCTTGTTATAGTGCACAGTGCTACCCAAAACTTCCAGAGACGGCGACTGATCAGAGAGACGTGGGCCAATAAGAACCTCTTCAAAGGCCTCAGCGTAAGGATACTGTTTCTGTTTGGGTTTAACCCAAGACGAGAAGGTTCAGTCTCATTGAAAACGAGAGCGTGGTGTACGAAGACATCGTACAGGGCAATTTCTTAGACACCTATCACAACCCTGACGCATAAAGGGGTTCTGTCATTCCGCTGGATCTCAGGCACTGTCTTCACGCGCAGATGGTCCCTCAAGGTGGACGATGACATGTTCATCAATCCATTTCTTCTCTTAGAAAAATTCTATCCGCTCCTGAAGTCGAAACAAAAGACATATATTATGTCACCTCCGCGGGAAGGGTCTAGCCCAATAGTACGTGGAACCAGGAAATGGAAGGTTGAGGACGATCAGTTTAAAGGTTATTCTCACTATCCCATCAACTACTGTAACGGTTATGTTGTGTTGATATCAACAGAAATAATTCGGGCGATGTACCGTGCGTCGTACATGACGCCGTTCTTCTGGGTAGACGATGTGTACCTCTATGGACTACTACTGCTGAAAGCTGGGGTGTCACACATGATCAGATACGTAACAATATGACGCTGAATGTCAACACCGGCATACAATGCTACACGAAAACGAAGAAGTGTCAGTATTTGGCCGTGAACGCCTGGAAAGATTTGGGGCTATTGAGACACTGTGGTATGCGGCTCTGCAACAGATTACACCACAGATGCGAAAGGAAATTAATATTGACGAAGGTTTGAGTGAACAGAAGAGAGAGAGAGAGAGAGAGAGAGAGAGAGAGATAGAGAGAGGGGAGATAGAGAGAGAGAGAGAGAGAGAGAGAGAGAGAGAGAGAGAGAGAGAGAGAGAGAGAGAGAGAGAGAGAGAGAGAGAGAGAGAGAGAGAGAACGAGAGTATTTATGTGTTGATATCTACAGCGTTGTATTAGCGGACTGGTTCTTGCGTTCCATTATTCAGACGCTTGTCACCGCACCATGGAATGTCGTGCAGCTGGGTTTAACATTCAGGACATTTATGTGATATGTGTCAGGCACATGTCAGATGTTCAAATTACCATGTGACAAGATCATTATTTACAGCCGTACATGTTAAAATTCTTCATGCATGTCTCCAGCGTTATTTTGAAAAATAGATATAAATTTTTTTTTCAAAAACGAGTCTCTTTGTTTTTACAACTGAACACGTTGTTCTCTGTGTTTGCATAATGAAATCTCTATCAAAGTCACGGTTTTCAAAGTGTTATGTTATGAAGTAAAATCAAAACAGATTTCAAATTCTTCGAAACAGTTGTTTTCATGTCGTCTGCATCGGTTGTAACACGACTGTGTACTGTTGGTGGAGAACCAGAGGCTGCATGTTGCAGAGTGATGCATACAGAAACATCACTCTTGGCCTGCAGGCTCTGATCCCGGAAGTCCAATTTATCACAGAAAGACAGGGCAATGCATCTCTATATGCATTCCTGGACGACAGATGTGTCAAGGGACGTCACTCTTGGTTACCTTTGTTCCTCACATGTACTCTACTTGCCCAGTAGTAACTCGCCTCAGGCTAGGACATTGTGGATTGAAGGCATATAGAAGTATTGTAGATAAAGACCTATCTCCCTCTATGAGAATGCTGTAACTTATACACTGCCCAGAAACAGTTCAGCACTATCTCATTGAATGTCCAGCTCATGAAAAATCACGCCAGGCTCTTAAAGAAACAATGCTTAACAAAACCAAAAACATGTTTACAATGGACACAATACTTGGAGATAATTTAATGAATGGTTGCATGCAGAAAGCTGTGTTAGACTTCGTCTTTAAAACGGGCAAGTATGACATAATTTAACTGAACAAAAATATAACAGTTTGTTAAGTGTGCATATAGGCCTGTTAAGGCCCAAGATCGCCCTGAAACCTCATCTACCTACCAACCTACATTTGTTCCTGCACCAAATCAGTCATGTTCTTCTTCCAATACTTTGTTTAACTGAACAGTGGTTACATATCTATCGCCCTAGGCACCACCATTATACCTCCATCCCCCTGTAGAGTGAGTGAGTCAGGTATTATCCTTCTTGTCACACCCGCTAATACCCATCATGCGATTCAGTAACTATGTCGCAAAGATAAGAAATTACTGCAACTACCGTTTTAAGAGGCAGTCATACAGCTGCTTTCAGGTCGCCAGACACCATCATCACCATATCCTCGCGAAGCGGCTGTAAAATGTGTGGTGAGACCAGTGCCACACCATTCAGTGCTATCTTTATATAGTCTGTCTCACAGTCCCTGAACCATATTATTTTCCCCAATGCTTAACCCTCCCTGCAATGATAATGCCCTAAATGAAACAAGTCTAGATTTCCTCAGGTTCCTGAATCTCTGATCTCACTGGGGCTCCTTTTCAATTTAAATGGGTGTATTTGCTACTATCAAAATGATATGTATTAAGGGACTAAACGTTAGTGTAAGCTATCTTGTATGAGCCCGAGTCTATGATGACATCACTGAGTAGCTGTTACCGGCATTCTTCACACCTACCAGCAAGTACGTTCAGCGGACTCACAAGTATTGTAAACATCAAGGTTACATGTTACCGGCATACTTCACACCTACCAGCAAGTACGTTCAGCGGACTCACAAGTATTGTAAACATCAAGGTTACATGTTACCGGCATTCTTCACACCTACCAGCAAGTACGTTCAGCGGACTCACAAGTATTGTAAACATCAAGGTTACATGTTACCGGCATACTTCACACCTACCAGCAAGTACCTTCAGCGGACTCACAAGGTATTGTAAACATCAAGGTTACATGTTACCGGCACACTTCACACCTACCAGCAAGTGCGTTCAGCGGACTCACAAGTATTGTAAACATCAAGGTTACATGTTACCGGCACACTTCACACCTACCAGCAGAGTGCGTTCAGCGGACTCACAAGTATTGTAAACATCAAGGCTACATGTTACCGGCACACTTCACACCTACCAGCAAGTGCCTTCCAGCGGACTCACAAAAGTATTGTAAACATCAAGATTACATGTTACCGGCATACTTCACACCTACCAGCAAGTACGTTCAGCGGACTCACAAGTATTTGTAAACATCAAGGTTACATGTTACCGGCATACTTCACACCTACCAGCAAGTACGTTCAGCGGACTCACAAGTATTGTCAAACATCAAGGTTACGTATGTTACCGGCATACTTCAACCTTACCAGCAAGTACCTTCGGCGGACTCACAAGTAGTGTAAACATCAAGGTTACATGTTAACGGCATACTCACACCTACCAGCAAGTTGCGTTCAGCGGACTCACAAGTATTGTAAACATCAAGGGTTACATGTTACCGGCATACTTCACACCTACCAGCAAGTACCTTCAGCGGACTCACAAGTATTGTAAACATCAAGGTTACATGTTTACCGCACCTTCACACCTACCAGCAAGTGCGTTCAGTGGACTCACAGAGTAGTGTTAACATCATAGGGTTACATGTTACCAGCATACTTCACACCTACCAGCAAGGTACCTTCAGCGGACTCACAAGTATTGTAAACATCAAGGTTACATATTACCGGCACACTTCACACCTACCAGCAAGTACGTTCAGCGGACTCCACAAATTATTGTAAACATCAAGGTTACATGTTACCGGCATACTTCGCACCTACCAGCAAGCATGCGTTCAGGCGGACTCACAAGTATTGTAAACATCAAGGTTACATGTTACCGGCATACTTCACACCTACCAGCAAGTACGTTCAGCGGACTTACAAGTATTGTAAACATCAAGGTTACATGTTGCCGGCATACTTCACACCTACCAGCAGCAAGTACGTTCAGCGGACTCACAAGTAGTGTAAACATCAAGGTTATGTTACTGGCATACTTCACACCTACCAGCAAGTACGTTCAGCGGACTCACAAGTATTGTAAACATCAAGGTTACATGTTACCAGCATTCTTCACACCTACCAGCAAGTACGTTCAGCGGACTCACGAAGTATTGTGTAAACATCAAGGTTACATGTTACGGCACACTTCACACCTACCAGCAAGTACGTTCAGCGGACTCCACAAGTATTGTAAACATCAAGGTTACATGTTACCGGCACACTTCACACCTACCAGCAAGTACGTTCAGCGGACTCACAAGTATTGTAAACATCAAGGTTACATGTTACCGGCATACTTCACACCTACCAGCTAGTATGTTCAGCGGACTCACAAGCATTGTAAACATCAAGGTTACATGTTACCAGCACACTTCACACCTACCAGCAAGTACGTTCAGCGGACTCACAAGTATTGTAAACATCAAGGTTACATGTTACCGGCATACTTCACCCCTACCAGCAAGTACGTTCAGCGGACTCACAAGTATTGTAAACATCAAGGCTACATGTTACCGGCACACTTCACACCTACCAGCAAGTACCTTCAGCGGACTCACAAGTATTGTAAACATCAAGGTTACATGTTACCGGCATACTTCACACCTACCAGCAAGTACGTTCAGCGGACTCACGAGTATTGTAAACATCAAGGTTACATGTTACCGGCACACTTCACACCTACCAGCAAGTACGTTCAGCGGACTCACAAGTATTGTAAACATCAAGGTTACATGTTACCGGCACACTTCACACCTACCAGCAAGTACGTTCAGCGGACTCACAAGTATTGTAAACATCAAGGCTACATGTTACCAGCACACTTCACACCTACCAGCAAGTACCTTCAGCGGACTCACAAGTATTGTAAACATCAAGGTTACATGTTACCGGCATACTTCACACCTACCAGCAAGTACGTTCAGCGGACTCACAAGTAGTGTAAACATCAAGGTTACATGTTACTGGCAAACTTCACACCTACCAGCAAGTACGTTCAGCGGACTCACAAGTATTGTAAACATCAAGGTTACATGTTACCGGCATTCTTCACACCTACCAGCAAGTACGTTCAGCGGACTCACGAGTATTGTAAACATCAAGGTTACATGTTACCGGCACACTTCACACCTACCAGCAAGTAATGCGTTCAGCGGACTCACAAGTATTGTAAACATCAAGGTTACATGTTACCGGCACACTTCACACCTACCAGCAAGTACGTTCAGCGGACTCACAAGTATTGTAAACATCAAGGTTACATGTTACCGGCATACTTCACACCTACCAGCTAGTATGTTCAGCGGACTCACAAGCATTGTAAACATCAAGGTTACATGTTACCAGCACACTTCACACCTACCAGCAAGTACGTTCAGCGGACTCACAAGTATTGTAAACATCAAGGTTACATGTTACCGGCATACTTCACCCCTACCAGCAAGTACGTTCAGCGGACTCACAAGTATTGTAAACATCAAGGCTACATGTTACCGGCACACTTCACACCTACCAGCAAGTACCTTCAGCGGACTCACAAGTATTGTAAACATCAAGGTTACATGTTACCGGCATACTTCACACCTACCAGCAAGTACCTTCAGCGGACTCACAAGTATTGTAAACATCAAGGTTACATGTTACCGCACACTTCACCTACCAGCAAGTACGTTCAGCGGA